CTCTGCGGGTCCTCCTCGGCCTCCGTCCGTTGGGCCGCCGGCCCGGAGCCCTGGAGAGGGCCTCGGCTCCAAGCGCGCGCCCTTCCTGCTCCTTCCCCTCCCCCTCTACCCTTCCCCCTCCCTCTCCGCAGGGACCCGAATGCCCGGATGAAAAGGGCGGCGGCACCGGCGCGAGCCCTTTGTCAGCCGCTGCCTCAGCCTAAGCTGGGGAGCCGGAAGCCTAAACGGAGAGCGAGGCCGCGACTTCTCGTCCCCTGGAGGCAGATAGCCAAACCTCCTTTTCTTGTTCGCAGTTAGCCTCTGCTGCTTCCGGATAATCTTAGTTCTTCGCTGTTTGCCCCCCGAAGCCCCTAGTTCTCCTCCACCGCTGCCTCCACCGCCCGCTTCCTGTTTATCCGCACTGCGCCTGCGCCGGAGACCGGCTCAGACCGGTCCCCTCAGCCCGACTCCCCCCCCGCCTTCTTTTGGGCTAGCCTATTGAGCTTCATTTGGTAGGGGGAAATAGAACAGAGGATACGAGAAAAGCGGAAGGTGATGAAGGTAATGGAGCGTACCATTTATGTTCGCCACCCTCTAGAACGAGCCGGGCGCCCTGGAACGGACCATTACCTCTCCTGAAGAAGGGGAGTATGGGAGGAGGCTGCAGCTGGTTGGGGCAATAGGGATGGGGAGGTGAAAAAGGTGTTTACTCTCTCAATGCGCAGGCGCGGAAACGAAGCCTCTAGTTCTTAAAGAGATAGGAAGAAACTGACCTATTTTCTATTGAGATTCTTCTAATAGGTTGTCTCATTACATCAGCCCGACCCAGGATCGGTTCTGTGAAGATAACATTCCAAGGAGCTCAGCTCACCCCTCTACCTTGAATCATTTTCCCCTACCCCCAGCTTGGCGCTAACCCCTTTTTTAAAAAATTAAGTCATTAATTCATTCCTTCGGCAGAGACCAGTTGAGCTTGCCTCTTGCTGGGCTCTTGGGCCACTATGAGCACACAGTATGGTGGTGGAGACAAGCAAGTACACGCACAATCCCCACATAGTGTACCCAAGTGTTGCGGGAACTCAGAGGAGGAACTGACTTAATCCTCCTTTGGTGAGAGGTGGCAGACATGGCTTTGCTTCTGAGTTGGAACGTAAGGACGAGTAGGAGTGAGACTGAAGAGAGGGGAAGCGAAGAGAGCACTCCAGGCTGGTGGAACAGAGTACAATTGTGGTGAGGGGTGAAAAGGCCTGGCATCTTTGGGAATGGGGAGCGTGAACTCTGTTTAAGGGAGAAGTGAAATCCTTGGGCCTTAGCATAAACATCATTTCCTTAAGGAATCCTTCCCTGGGCCCTAGATGGGCTTGGGTCCTCTTGCGGCCATTTGTGCTCAGAGCTCCCTGCAGTCCCGTCATAGGCACTTTATTTACATTTATGTCGGTTAAGAGATCTTTTTCAGCTTGCGAAGTGTAAATGTGAAATGAGCATCTCAGTCTCATTCTGATCATTAAGACCTAGTATCGTCAATATATTCAACTCCAGCGGTAGCCCAACTTGTAGCTCCAGGGGCTCTTATAGTCCCTCTTTCTTTTTAGTACTGGGGTGTTGAGATGGGGGTTAGAGGCAAGCATTTTCTTAGGGGACCTCTTGTGATGCCAGTTGGAGGCCATAAGCAGCTTCAGTGCATATGGTGGTCCCTTGGAGGATTTGGGGTTATCATTCCAGCTGACCTCAGCCCTTAGTCTCATGACACTTTCATCTTTGCCTCATGCTTGGCAATTGCTAGCAAGTCAGCAGCCACTATTTCATCCACTATCCAGACTCTGGGGTCCATGGCCTAGGCAAGATCCACTTTCCATATCTGCACCTTTCAAACTTGAAGGGAAATTCCTGCCACACACTCTCTCCCCAAACCACACCTCTACCCCCTAGTATCTCCGACAGGAACCAGAGGTTAGTAGGCCTATGATAAATACTTGTGGAATGAATGAAATAGGGCTCTGCACTCACAGTTTAAATTCTGATTAGAGAAACATACAATAATAAATTCAGTACATACACAGTGTCTCAGTTTGTAATAAGTGCCATGAAGGGAGGAAATCAAGTAATGTGATAAAGAGTAACCACAGCAAAGAATGGCTACTTCAGATGGAAAAATAAGTAGTAATCTGAGTGAACCATGATAATGGCTTGGCCTAGGAAAGAGCAGTGGAGACAGGCAGTGCACCTTTGGTGGTGGAATTGTGATTGATTAAAGTAGTAGAGGGAGGGGGTGCCTACCTGGCACAGTTGGTAGAGCCTGGGAATCATGAGTGCAAGCCCCATGTTAGGCATAGAGATTACTTAAAATATAATAATAATAAAACAAAGGAGTAGAGGGAGAGGAAGAAATGAAGACTACTAAAGACCTGAGCAACCAGGTAGATGGTATCATTTGTTAAGGTGGAAAGACTGAAAAAGCATGAATCAAAGCTCCATTTTGAACATGTTTTTTCTCTCTCTCTCTGTCAAATAATATAAATAAAAACCTAATTTTTTTGTATAATTTGACAGAGAGAGACACAGCGAGAGAGGGAACACAAGCAGTGGGAGTGGGAGAGGGAGAAGCAGGCTCCCCACTGACCAAGGAGCTGGACTCAGGGCTTGATCCCAGGGCCCTGGGATCATGACCTGAGCCGAAGGCAGACACAACGACTGAGCCACCCAGGCAC